AATCCAAATATGGCTGTAGCCATATTAAAGGTCAAATTTAAACAACATATATACAATCAGAAGCAAACACAAAACTTCAATATAAGTACAAAATATAGAAATAATAACAATATACAATGATAAAATCTCAAAATGGAATCAAATAAAATACCAAAATGTCAACAGAAAGAGTCCGTCATGTCATAACAAAAATATATAAACATGGAGGGATTTTCCAAAAAACAAAACATTCAAAAAGGATTCTACAACCACTGCTGCCACTTACACTAACACTATCAATGTTGCTATGACTACTTGGATTAGCATATAACTGTCCATCTATTTACCGTAAACAAACATCAGCAGGACGCGCTAAGCTGCTAATATCTTCCGCTTTATTATCATGATGCTCCATAGAACTAGATATAGTAGCCTGCAGACATCCTGATTGCTCAGCAACATGAAGTGCTGTGTCACTCTTCACACTTGTTGTCCTAGAATCAACTCTAGTTCGAGTCAAATAATTTACCCTACGTGAAAGGTTCCGAACAAAAGGTTTATTCCATCCAGCCAATCCTGTTTTGTCCTTATTCATATTTACTGTACTCATCAACCGCTGTTTGCTCGAATCCAAATAACCGTTCCTTGATTTTCGAGCAGTTAAGAGGCTTTTACCATCACATACCTCGGATCCATCTTGATACCAAAAATTTCTTCCTTTTTCCTTCTTCGTCATCCTCACAATAGCCACCTTATCTGCTACAGATTCTGACTTCTCCTTAGGACATACGTCAATGGATTTTAAATCATAAAGCTTACGTGCTCGGTCTTCAGGAGGATTTACCTTGCTAATACAATTAACAACTCTCTCAAGTCACGGGCGTGAGGTAGGTGCAAACACATTAGAAGAATTCCCATGTCCCGCACGCAGATGACTAGTCGCTTCCATATCATGTCCTGTTTTCGTGCGATTAGCTCGTCCAAATCTACTACTAGCTATCCTTGCACGAGACAAAATAAACTCATTCAACTCATCGAATGTAGGCTCTCTATCCTCTTAGTCCCATTTAATTTCCAGCTCTGCCCACTGGACTTGCATACAATGAGATCAAAGCCTATCTATCCGCTCCAAAGTTACTAACGAATTCAAATCAGAGGTGTAATTCAGCTGCTCTAAGATCATAGAGTATTCTTGCATACGTATGGCTAAATATGACATATGTTCTGGATCATTGTAATCAGCCCTTCCTGGCTTAAACAACTCTTCTAACATTTCACGGAATATCAAGTGCGTTTGACCAAAAAGCTGCTTTAAAATGTCTTTAGCCCTTTTGTAGCCTGACGAAGCTTCCATCATTAGACACCCTTCAATGGCAGCCTTTGCCTTACCCTTGCAGTAATAGATTAAATATAATAGGCGCATATTGTCATCAATAACTCTAGGTTCTATAAACGTTTCTAACTGTTTAATGAACCTAAAGTAATCACGGTGTCGGCCGTCAAAGTAAGGGAGCTCAACCTTTGGCAATTCTAAGCCAACTACCGGTGTCCTAGACATCAAATCTTTCCCAGGTACCTCAAAGTTCTTGTCCAAACTACGTCCTTTAGTAACCTCTAACGATGGCTTACGACGATAAGTACTAAACAAAATATCATCCTTATCGGAGAGTGAACCTTTTGAACAAGAAGTATCATAAGGTACTTGCCTTGCATTCCGCGATTCTTCATGGGCGTGTTCGGCTTCTTACGAGAGCTCATTATATCAGTTGAAATTCAGCGGTAAAGAAACTCCAAATTATTGAAACAAAAAAGATCATATATTAAAATTCACCGGTTACGCTTCTTCAATTATTGTCGACAATAAGATATCCAAAGTATTTTTCTCCAAATATCGTAAAGAACCAGTTGAGAGTAAAATATCCAAAAGATCCTCTTCCAAATATTGTTTAGTAATAGCAAACGATAAGAAATCCAAAGGATCCTCCTCGAAATATTGTTTTGAACTATAAAGTTAATATGTTACTCTTGCAGTTCGCTCCGAACCCGAAAGTTGAAGGTTCATACGCGTCCCGCACAGTCCAATTCCAAAAACGATGATTCTGGGAGAGAACGGTTCTGTATTTAATCAAAAAAGGGAATTTAGACAATTACCAAAACAATATTACACATTCGTGTGGTCCGTTGAAATCCATGTGGCGTATGTATGCGTTTGTATGGGAATATTGTGCCACCGATGATCAGTTTGTTGAAGGCACGTAGGTTTTCAAATCTCTCAACGTTTTCGTTCCTTTCTCCCTGTCCATGTCGTCCCATGATGTCTTCATAACCAGTGTTGTCCATGCCAACCTTGGCATCTAGGTCTCTCATCAGAATGGTCAAATCCTTTGGTAAGCATCTGTCTACGATTGACTGCAGCCTTTCATAGGATTGATCTTTATCGTCGTCATTGTCGTCAGCGGTAGGTGCATAGCATTGGATGACGTTCATTGTAATTTCCTGTTTCTTTGTTTTGAAGGATGCTATAATGATCCTTGGTCCATGAGATTCCCATCCTATCAGTGCCTTTTGTGCATGTATGGACAGCGTCAGTTATAGAAAAATTCACTTCAGTGGACTTTCCTTTCGGAGACAGTATGAAGAATGTACTTGCCTTGCCCAGTCCAAATTCAAAATGCAAGTTTTCTGGGTAAGAACGGTCCTATTATTATTCAAAAAATGAATACAGACAATCGCCTAAACAATATTATGCTGTCACGATCCAAAATTAACACAATAAGTTTCCAATTCTGGAAGAATGCGTCCTTCCAGTCAAGAATACAAAGTTACCGCTAAGGTATCAGATCCGACATGGCCATAGACATATTAAGTATCAATTTAAACAAAAAATTTACAGTTCAGAAGGAAACATATAAACTCAAGTACGGAAAATTTGAAATATAACAAAATACAAATATAAATTACCCAAATTGGGACTAACAGAGTACCAAAATACTGAACAGAAAGAGTTAGCAAGATCATAACACAAATATATACATGGAGGGATTTTCCAGAAAACAAAGCCTTCAAAATGGATTCTACATCAATGCATCACCTTCTGTATGTGAAGCATTTTCCTCTTCAAGACCAGAAAATAACAGCAGTTCCCCTGAAGCTAGTCTCAGTTGTCCTACCTGTGTCCAATGCGTTTCACTGATGTCGAGCACCTCCAGGTTGTATGTTTTTGTTTCTGCCGCAACTTGAAATAGTCTTCTAGTCTCCCACAGCGTTCGAACGTTCCATTTACCTAAAGAAATGGTTGCTCTGGTTGTCAGAAGAGGCATCGGTAATGGAAGGTAATGGAAGGGCTGGCGAAGCCCATGGATAAGAAGAAAATACTCCATGAAACTCAATACGTATTTCAGAAGGACTTAGGGAGCGCATCCGAATTGGAGAGGGGGTACAATGACCGACAGAGACAGAGATACAACGCAGAACTTCGCACATACGTACATCATTTCAGGTTGCCATACCCCATCAGCACACAGACGTTCAAATCCAAGAGTGATAGCGATAGTAGATGTGTTATCAGTGACGGAGAAGATTAGGGAGCCAAGATATGATTCGAGAAGTATAATTCAGTGAGATAAATTTAGAAGTAGAAAGACCCACTGGTGCAGAGGTTAGGCGTTCGCGCGAAAAACAGAAGGTCTCTGGTTCGTACTGCTGATGATTCCCATATCAGGACGAAACGGTCGTCCATTGCTTCCAGGTTTCTAATGGTGGCCTAACAGTGATTGACTTACGATTTCAAATATGTAAAAACAATAAGCTCGAAAACTGTCATTGAAAAAAGGAATTATTATTAGACAGACTGAAACAAGGCAATAACATTACTGGTGTAAAGTTTGTACAAAATGCAATTTTGTTACAGTTAGCGTAAAACCTTAGGGCTGTATTCACAGTCCGCAGCGTTTTTCAGATATAGTACCCTGAACTTTGGAGTTCTGAAAGTAAGTGTGTTGTTATTTGCCCAACGTTGAAATCGAGTTCGACCTTACTGAAGAGTCACGTTAACATACTGGCTGTAAACCACTGTCCATAGTTTAACGTCGTCAATGAAAAGTAATAACTCCAAAGAAATTTGCTGAAGGTCATTCGTATAAGTTAAATAGAGATGTTTTGAACCCTGAGTGGCCCTTTTAGGACATTCTCCAGCATGAAATATCTTACATTAAACGCTGACCTAAAAAGTCGACTATTTAGGTATGAAGTTATCTGATCTATTAAATGTGGCTTGATACCAAACTGCCCTATCTTGTTGATGAGATTTATGACTGACCCCATAAAAAGCTATGGAGAAGTCAAGTTATATCACAGCAACCCTCCTCTTGCGATCAAGGTCGGTTATCCGCCTCAGTTAGTATATTGGCAATACAGGAGTTACTCTTTCTGAAAACGTGTAGCTTGGGTAAAAGATAGCATAGACAGTTATATACTAAGGACTTGGTAACTTTTTATGGTATTGAAAGAAGCTCTACCGACAGATAGTTTGAAGATTGGTTTGATATTCACCAGCTCTCAATTGCCTACGACTATCTTCACTGAGAAAATATGAGAACCTCATACTATGTGGCGCTGCAAAGATTAAGGCTCTTGCAGTCTAGTGAAGCAACATTCTTGTTTAGCTGATGCACTTTTGATAAACCAGACAATCACTTAGGATCAATTCTGAAGTTTCTCATTAGATGCAGGTGAAGCCCTCCTAATATAAGTTGCATATGACGGCTAAAATATTGAGAGATTCCGTCCCGCTGTAGGATCTGTAATATCGCTGTGTTTGCTGATCGGGTCACCTGGATCCAAAAACTGAGAAACTCCGGCTTTGGGCAGTTGAAGGGATCTGTATGATGAAATAGGTTAGTTAGATCAAATAGGCATCATGGGGTGATTGGAATACTTGCTCCTAGAGATTAGCTAAAGTCTTGAACTGTTCAAAAACTTCAAAAAGTATCATGAAAGAAGTTAGTAGGCTTACAGTTGCTTGTTATCAAGATATTGGATATTGGACACTGAAAGCTGAAGTCCGGTTTCTCGAAAGTTGTGAAGCGGTGCGGAACCAGTATCATATCTTATCCTTGGGGGTACGTTCATTTATTTATTGTTTTCGGTGTCTGTTAGAACAAGGAAGCTCCATAAATCTTAGCGTTACACCTCCTTTGTTTGAGATCATGAACTGCATTCTAATTGATTTGGCTTTCAACAGATTATTTCTATAATCTTAAGACTGTGTCCGTATACTAAGCAAAAGCACATCAATTCGTAGTTTTCTTATTCGGATCTTATTAAACATCTTAGCTTTCTCAGAGTTTTTAGTAACAGTTGAGTGTCTCTTGAGAGATAGCTTTTCAGAATCATTTACCGTTCCAAGTTTTGGACTCAAACATTTTAAATTCAGATATCACCATTCGTGTTTGTGTATGTTTTATACTTTCACACTGTAAATTGATTCAATAACCTCAGTAGGCTCTGTGCTTGTGTTTACTTTTGTCCACGTAGATTCAGTATTGAAACATCGGCGAATCCTTATTTGGACAAAAGTTTTGTTATAAATAAGATTTTTCACGTACATTGTAATGGGTGCGGATGAATACTCAGTTTTTGTGCTCCATGAAGGACGTTACGAAAGGTCTCCTGACTATGTGTATAGAAAATGTAATGCTTCACTAATACGAGGTCCAGCAGGTTCCTATGTGGTAAACCCTGGGTCTGTTTGGAATGGTCCAGAGTTGTTATCATCTCTCAAAGCTGCGGGTGTTCAAGATCCTGAGAAGGAGATCAAAGGTGTTATATGTACAGATGGTCATGCTGAACATGTTGGTTTTATGAGTATATTCAGTCGTGCCGACATAATGATTGTTGGATATGATATACAGATGCGAGGAAACAAGTTCTTGAAGCATGATTTTTCCGTCGGGATAACACCGTATGAATTTGATGAAAATGTAAGTTCTTGTGGCTCAAAAATTTTAAAAAGAAGCATGATGAAAATTCCTTCCATTTATTTGGAGCTTCATCCCTCTGCTCTGTGTGCTTTGCATTGTGTGTTATTATGTTGTTTAGATATTCGTCAGTGGCTTCAAATTACTTTCCAAACTTGATAAAAACAGTAGCTCAAGTGTTTCCCGTAACATTCTCATCGGCAGTGCTAGTTTACACTGCAAGCTACGAATTATTCTTATGTTTGCCTGATGATGAAGAATGCAGAAGATTAGGATTCGAAAGAAACCAGAGAATGGCTGCACCTATGCCACTGCAAACGGTTTTGAGTCATGTTATTCAGGGTCTCTGACTATCGATTACCATCATCTCGCGGACCCTATCCAGGTAGTCTATATTTACCCACATGACACAATCCATTTGTCAGTAACTTCATGGATTCGCTCCATCTTTTGGTTTGATAGCCCCTAGGTTTCTTCCAACCTACTCCTACACCGCAAATCATTGCTAGACGAGGCAGTCGGTGGGTGGGCATTCGTAACACATATCACAACCACTTCAACTGATAGAGTTTCACCACTTCGTCTATTGATTCACCATCCCTACTTAGTACCCGTTTCCTAACAACAGCATTGCTTACTCGGTTGTCCCAGGATACACGAGCAATGCCTTGGAGACACCTATAATCAAAAACCAGTAACCCACGAATATTTTCTACTCTTATTGGCCATGTTTCACAGCCGTGAAGTAGGACGGAGCGAACTGCTGCACAGTAAACCCGTCAGACTCTAGGCCATCAGCACTGATGAGATTTCAATGTGTAAACCAGTCAACACTCTCATCTGCTTCACTCCTTATCACTAGTTCAGGTGCTAATGGAAGCCAATCCTGAAGCACCATTTCCTATTTCGATGAAGATAATCGCATCCCGAACATGCTCGCATTGTTGCCTAAGGTGGTGAGAAGACTGCATTATGTCAGCTACTTCACCAAACAGAACTGTCTTATCTGCATGTTCTAGGTCAACAAGTGAGTCTCCTAGTAGAAGGTCAGCTCCTGAAAAGGCATAGGATGAATGTGTCGTCTCTAAAAGCATGTCAGTGACAAAGTTGAATGAGACTGGAGAAAGTGGACAGTCCTAACGGACACCACTCGAGGTAATCAATTCTGATGATAGTTCGCCACGAGCTCTTACTTGACCAATGGTGTTGGAGTTAAGGACTTGTATAAAGCTAACGTACTTCTCTGGTACTCCTTTCATTGACAGACACTGTTGCACAACCTCACGATCGACAGAGTCAAATTCCGCTTTAAGGTTAAGGAATTTAACTACAGTCGGACGATGAAATGTGTGTCTATGTTCTAGGACATGACGAAGTGTGAATATATGGTCTATACACCTACATATAGGTCTGAAATCGTCCTGGACTTCTTGAGTTTGCTCTTTACGAGCCCTAGTTGGGCGTCTCAGTATCATCGAGGCTAACAATTTAGACACCATAGTAGTTAGACTGATTCCTCTGTGATATATGAAGGATGTACTTTCAATTACGTGGCAGTATTCAGTATTGTTGAATGTGAACTAATAATGATTCATGTCTAAAAGTAAAAATGTTTGTACTGAAATATTTACCTGAAGATCCGTTCCATTTTCCTAAGTTGTATTCAGTGTGTGCCAACCCAGCTACAGAAATCATTTCATCTCAATCCCAACAACATTCTCTTGTAATATATTTCGGTCCAAACTAGTTCAAGGTTACCTTTGTAACTTGATACTCAAATGTGACTGAAGTTCGGAAATAGACGATAATCAGTTTACAACCTATGAACTTAATGTTTGCATCATGAGAAGTAGCTAACATTTACTACAAAAAACACGGAGATATGCCGTTGTGTAAATTAATGTAGTTTTACAACAGGATGCTACTCCATTTTATGCAAAAATAGTTTGGAAAAACCAGACAGTTTAGGTTTGATACGCAATCCTGTAGTAAGATTTTAACTACGTTGAACAAATATTCCCATGTTTTTTAGTATTGCAGACGTTAGTCTCCTTGGTAGTATGAATTTGTAAGCAACATGCGATATAAATTTATTTTCATACATTAGTTAAAATTAGAATACTCCAAGACTAACGGGTGACATTCGTCGGGTTTTCACCTATTGCTTTTTCATTTGTCAAGTTTGCCTTCTTGAACTACTTGTGTGACGATTTGTCAGAACGATAGTGATCTATAGAATGTACGTCACCGTACTGTTTTTTTTACAGCTATGAAACTATTTATTGGGGTTTGATTTGAGTGTGTTTACTGTAAACTATCCGCTTGAACTGGTGTACCTGTCAGAATGATCTAATCACTCTCGATTCACGTATACTGAAGGAATTTTCTTCAACCACTGCCTGTGATTACCTACGCGTTGTGCTCAGTCATTGCTTATCGACAAATAAAAGAAACTGTAGCTATTTGATTATTATGTTTGTCATTTGTTCTTTCATGAGATTGCTAACTTATATGTCCGGTTCAAATGACAGCTGATTGTAAGTTTTACACACGTTCAAGCACTTTTCAATAGGTCAGAGTACTTCACTGTCTCTGAATAGTGGTGCTTCAAGATCTCCTGATCAACAAATTGGTTTCATTGTCCTTCCTTACTAATTAATTTGGCAGATTACTAATCATGATAAACATCAAAATTAACCTGGTTTCAAGCTTTGGTCTTTACAGCGTTGATCTAATCTTCATCTCTACTCAGGAGTAGCCGCAAACCAGTTAAACTTTCACTCGAAATGCTCAGTCGTTTCAATGGTTTTGACTTAAAGTAGATCACTTTTCAGTTCCGTATTTTAAATCCTCTGTCTAATGATATTATGACTCACGAGCCAAGTTGGTAGGTGTAGACTAATCTGGTTGGGGTTCGCGAGACAATTGTAACCGATGGTTGAAGTCTTTGAATGATGTGGCTCAAAGTCGTTTGCAATGACGCAGATGCATCCATTCTTTATCTCTGGAATTCTAATCTTTTGGATTCCTCATGACACTTTTTCTTTTTCTAAATTTGTTTAACTGGGATATACCTCCCGGGTAATACCTTCGATCCCTAATCTTTTTGATTACCGCTAATGCTGCTATAACCTCTACTAATATGGAATTTGAGTTGATAATCCCACCTGTTTGTGCTAATATGGTATGGCAACTTGAACTGATGCATGTACGTACCCAGTTTTACGTTGTAACTTATTGACTGTTCTGACTCTCAACGTAATTCATTAACTTGAACAAATTTCTAGTCTCTTTTTATCGTGATATCTTGATTTCACTCTTAATCACGCATAATTACTGTGTAGGCGCTATAACCGTTTACATTTGAGTTGCATTTTCTTATTCTTTCGGAAGCTTAATGGTATAAAAAAGGAGCTAGTTTCTGATAATTTAAATTAACTCAGGAACTGCTGGCGGTGTGCAGGTAATTGGGACTTGATGGTTGTGCACATAATAAAAGGGCACTTCTGGAAAACGGACTGTATTTATTTTGATCTGATTGGTTTGAAAATCCAACCATATAGCATAAAAAAGCTTACTAGATGTCATTCACATATCCTTTTGCTAATTGTTTTTGGTTTTGTGTAGTTGTATCCTTTCTATTTTAAGCCTTATGTCGGACACTAGAAGTCCTTGTCGCAGTGAACGTGCTGTCCACTGGACCCAACGTTTTAGAAGCATTGCTTCTTGACATGCTGCATCCATCGGGATCCTTTTTATCCAGCATTCAAGTCTTACTATTACATCCTTTGTATAGTTGACAGTACAACATCAGTGGCATAAATTTCCCCGTAACTGATATTGTTCCGAATGTCTTTCTGTCGTGTTTTGGTAGTTTCCTTCAATATTAGAAAAGTAATGGTGACTTAAAAATCGGACTTACCACTGTTACCAAAGTAATGAAGGCTCTGCTATAAATCGTGTCCATCAAGTCACTGACAAGTCGACTGAGTCATGCTGGTTGGGGTCCGCGAGACGAAAGTCACCAATGGTTAGAGATCTTGCATGACATGGCTCATAATCGTTTGCAATAGCCCAGGTGCATTCATTCTTTGTGTTCTCTCAAATTCTAAACTTTTTGATTCTTCATCACTTTATCCTTATCTTTTCAAGTCTATTTCACTAGATTCTACTTCTTGAATAATATCTTCCAATCCTAACCTCTCTGACTACTGCTAATACCTTTACTACCTCTACGACTGTTGGATTTGAACTGACTATTACCTCTCTGTGCTAATGTGGTATGGCAACATGAACTGATGTACTCACGAAGTTCTACGCTGCTACTGATTTATTGTTTGCTGTGATTTACTATTCTTATAGTCATCCTAGCTGAAGATATTGATAGGTAAAATCTGTTACTTTTAAGTCCACCTTATTTAATTTGTCAGTCTTCACTATTTTTCACCAGTGAATACACAAGACAGAGTGAAGTAAAGTTCAAAAGAAGTATGATGGTGACGAACAAATTTACAAAATTCTATTAAAACATTCTTGCATAGGACCTTATAACTTAGTTGAATTAAGGCGATTCAACTTGATATAATTCCAAGTATACTTTTGACCTTTTTTCAGTTCTTTGTTGTCGGAACTCCTGGGCAGCGAGGTCCACAAGTCAGTGTTATAGTGAATGGTCGTCTTATAGAGTTGAAGACTGGCGAGTGTCGTGAACCATGTCGTATTGCTGTTACTGGGAATTTGTTTATGGATGTTCACGATGCTGCTCGTGTAAGCTTCCTGGACACGCTGGAAGGGAATCATGGAGAAATTAATAATGAGAAAGAAAATATTATCAACAGTTGGCGTCAAAGTCGTATGCTTATTTTGGAGCAAGCTGATTGGCTAATCCCTGCCTACGGTCCTCCTTTCAAGGTAAATAAAAGTGATTTTCGCGAAATATTTGAGATTTTTTTCAATCTGCTGTTACATAGTTGTGCGTTCGTTTCTAATTTCCTTATTATTTAACTCGTGTACCAGATACTGATTCGTGCACTTATCTTCTAGCCACACACTGAGTGTAGAGTAAAGTGTAGTGATACTAACTGGTCTTTCAGTCACTTGATCACCACTACATCCCATTTTCTGCTGGCTACCTTACCGAGCAGCTCATTTTAGAATCTATAATTATCGTTTTAATAACTATAGTAATCTTAGTCATTCGGTTCTTTATCATATCGGTTTAACATATGTTTCATTAACCCTCTAGTTAAGTTATTATTCAAACTATCTACGAGATTCCAGTATTAGTATACCGCTAATTAATATTAATACAGTAATTAAACATCTGTATTGATATAAAGATGCTTCTGAATGTTGGTCGTCAGTAAAATGGTGCATTTACATCGAGCCGAATTTCTGTCGTCTAAAAGTTTTCGAACAAATAACGTAATAAGACGTTTAAGATCAGCTATAAAATGACATCTCTTTATGCTGCCTTTATGATATCTTTTACATTCTTTTTTCTATACCTGGTAACTGCTTTGTGACATTGATCAGTTGTGAAATTTCTCTACATGTAGAAAAAGCTTATTTGTTGTTTATTAATCAACGTTGTTTGTGATGCAAGTTAACTATCTAAGCTTCTAACAAGATAAGCAGCTCATCCCATTCTAGTGTTCAATTGGCTAAGACTACTTTTCAAGATAATCATGTTGTTTCAGATAATACATCAGTACATTCAAATACAATGTCCAAAAACTTCCCGAACATTTTGACTGTAAATTATTGTATTCGATTCAGTTTTCTCACTTGTAATGTTATTTCTTTAATTCAATCTGCAAGATGAAACTATTTCAACATTGTAGTGACCTACACCTATGGATTCTTATCAACTCTGTTGATCCGATAACATTCTCTATTCTACTGCTGAAATGTAAACACTATGTTTTTATTCAAGTGTGCGCATTTGAACTATTCCTTATGTGTTTATGAGAATGACTACCAAATTAGTAGTAGCCTTAAAGTTGTATACTAATATTCGGGATGCGGTCCTCACCCTCGAAATGCAAAATGTTGCTTCAAGACTGGGTTGCATCGGCACCTGAACTAGTGATAGGGAGTGAAGTAGTCGAGCGTGTTGATCGCTTCACTTATCTTGGGAGTCTCATCACCGCTGATAGCCTGGTGACTGACGAAATCTCAGCGCGGATACAGAAAGCTCGATTGGCTTTTGCCAACCTGCGTCACTTATGGCGTAGGCGTGATATCCGTTCGATAATCAAAGGAAGAGTGTACTGCGCAGCGGTCGCTCCGTTCTCCTATATGGCTGTGAAACATGGCCGTTAAGAGTAGAAGATGTTCGTAGGTTACTAGTATTCGGTCAAAGATGTTTAAGAAGCATTGCTCGTATAGCGTGGGACAGCCGAGTAAGCAATGCTGTCGTTAGGAAACGAGTACTAAGGATGGCAGATCAATAGATGAAGTATTGAAGCTTCATCAGATGAGGTGGTTGGGACATGTGCTACGTATGCCTAACCACCGACTGCCTCGACGAGCTATGTTTTGTAGTGTAGGAGTAGGTTGGAAGAAAGCTAGGGGTGGCCAAACCAAAACATGGCACAAATCCATGAAGTCACTGACAATTGGACTGAGTCATGTTGGTAGATGTAGACTACTTGGTTGGGGTCCGCGAGACGAAAGTCACCAATGGTTAGAGACCTTGAACGACATGGCTCGGAATCGTTTGCAATGGTGCAAGTGCATCCATTCTTTGAGCTCTCTCAAATCCTAATCTTCTGGATTCGTCAACACCTCTACCTTTGTCTTTCTAAACTTATCTCACTGAATTATACTTCTTGAATAATATCTTCGAACCCTAGTCTTCTTCATTACCATTAATACCTCTTCTATCTTTATCACTATGGGATTTGATTTGACATGTGCGTCTTTGTGCTAATGTGGTATGGCAACATGAACTTATGTACATACGTACGAAGTTCTACGTTGCAACTGACTGACTGAATGAGTAAGTTATTTCTCAAAGATCATTGAAAGACATGTCGCTGGTTATAAATATCAACCGGATCGAATTATGGAACATATTAGTAATAATGCCAAGCCTATTACGTAAGTTAATTTGTTATTATTATTATTATTATTCCTCTATCGCTTTAATTAAACAATACAATTGTATTTTTGATTTTTATTTTCCAGGTTAAACCGGAATATTCTCAAACACCGTGTGTTGAACTTGCTTATTGATTATTGATCTTATCAATATTATTTGTGAATATACCTACATTATCATCGTACATCTTGAGCAAAAATAATAAAAACAAACATTACGATATCATAATGCAAAAAACACAGATTGTGTTATATTATTATTATTATTATTATCATTATCAAAATAAGCGTAATTTCACTTTGAATGAAAGCACAAATCTCTCCTTGATACAAAGAAGAAAATAAATAAACACCATTTTTTTGCATTGTGTTATCGTTTCCCCATTTGTATTTGTAGCAAGTTGTGTTATATATATATATAAATGAATGAATTATTTTTAATTTTACTCTTTTCTCTAATATTTTTTGTATGAAGTTTGCATTGTCAGTTGATAACATTTTTTTTTTTTTCAAATGTATGTTCGCTTGGGATGTGTTTTTTTTGCTCCATACAAATGTTATAGCCGTTTGTTAGCTTTGCTTGCCTAGTAAAGTACTAAACGTAAACACATAAATAGTCTAAAATCTATTGAATCTTTTAAAAATGGGGTATTTTCTTTTATGAGCTGTCTTACAAAAATAAAAGCGTATATCAGCCCGTCACATTATCTACTTATTGTAATGTTATTTCAAGCTCGATATACGTAATAGGTTTTTTTTCTCACAGTAACAGTGTTTAGGAAACATTGTCATCGCGTAGATGTTATTGAAACGCACCAGTTCTTCTGTTTTGGTTACTAACTTACTTATGCCTGTTACCCCGAATGGAACATAGGCCACCCACCAGTTTTCTCCAACCAACTCTGTCCTGGGCTTCTCTCTCCAGTTCTGTCCAATGTTTGTTCATTCCTCTCATATCTTTCTCTATTTCTCGGCGTAATGTGTTCCTTGGCCTTCCTCTTTTCCTTTTTGCCTTGAGGGTTCCATGTGAGTGCTTGTCTTGTGACGCAGTTAGGTGCTTTTCGTAGTGTGTGTCCTATCCACTTCTTCCTGATTTCCTCCTCCACTGGAATCTGGTTTGTTTTCTCCCACAGTTCGTTGTTGCTGATCGTGTCTGGCCAACGAATCCGAAGTATTTTGCGTAGATAACTGTTAATAAACACTTGTATCTTCTGGATGATGGCTTTCGTAGTTCTGCAAGTTTCCGCTACATACAATAGAACTGTCTTGACATTTGTATTGAAAATCCTGATTTCGGTATTGGTTGAAAGTTGTTCCAGATGTTTTTCAACTGTAGAAATGGAGCCCTTGCTTTGCCAATCCGCGCCCTCACATCTGCATCGGATCCACCTTTCTCGTCGATGATGCTGCCCAGATATGTGAAGGTGTTACCGTCCTCCAAGGCATCTCCATCAAGAGTGATTTGGTTGGTGCATGTTGTGTTGCATCGGAGAATTTCGCTTTTTCCTTTATGTATGTTGAGACCTACTGCAGCAGAGGCTGCTACTACACTGGTCTTCTTCTCTTGCCAAAAAAAAGCTAACCAGAAAAAATAATTCTGTTTTGGTTAGTATTGTATAATCAGTATTCATAAGATAAATTAATTACTTAATAATGAATTCAGCTGTTCTATCCCACAATTACTGTGTTACACGTTTGAACGCATCTTCATTTAGTTGGGTTCAAACGACTAATTCGAATCACTAACCACTTTTGTAAGTATAACTCAGTGCCTGAAGTATACTTAATTGGAGTTGCGTTAAAAATCAGTTTGAAAGACACCAGTTTATATTCAGTGAGTTTTTAATGATGTTTGTTACGTCATTTCTTTTGTAGACTTTCTCTGGTACATGTTTCATCGTATAAATTATACTAATTTAGAATAAACTAAAAAAAGAAGCCTTAACCCAATGAAAATCCAAATATTTACATTTCATTAACTTCTGTTATTAGCTTAACTACATCAAAACGAATTAGAAGTCTAATAGTTGATAAATAAGTATACAACTCATTGAGATATATTCAAGACACATCAAATAGAGTTATTTGAACCTTTCGTTTCAGAATATCTTTAGTTGGAACTAGCAAGCTCGTTTATTCAGGTAGATATTATGTTGCGTCATCCACATGCTTATTAAATTCGAGTTTATTGGTTTGAAAGTGGTACGAGCTCCATATAGATTTATTTTTGTTTGCATGAATCGAAGTTAGTCAGAGAGTAGAATGTGTTTTCGTATTTTCCCATCAAGAAGTATGATATTAATAAGCTTCCTTCGTATTAAATGATTAAGTTTCATTATCTTATAGAATTGTTACCAAACTTACGATATAACTGTTGTTTGTAATGCAAGTTAGTCGTAAGGCTGCAAAATAAAGGAAACATTGATTAATAGGGGCAATCTATGAACTGTTCAAACTAGTGTCTTTGTGTTCGTGTCTACAAGAAATTGTGACTAAGTTTATGTAGTCATCAAAGTGGTATACTACCTATATCTCTACTTAGCTCTACGTGAAATGCCTCGATGACACTGATGAACGACCACTAGTGATCTACGAATATCCTCTACTTTTACTGACCATGTTTCACAACCATAAAGTGGGACGGAGCGAACTGCTGCTCAGTTAACCCGTCCTTTGGTTGGTAGACGGATATCTCGACTACGCCATAGATAATGGAAGTTGGCAAAAGCCAGTCGAACCTTTGTATCCATGCCGAGATTTCGTCAGATACCAGACCATCAGCACTGATGATACTTCCATGATGAATGAAGAAGTCAACACGCTCAACTAGATCACTCCCTATCAGTAGTTCAGGTGCTGATGCAACCTAATCCTGAATCAACATTTCGCATTTCGATGAAGAGCATCGCATCCCAAGCATGCTTGTATTGTTGATTAAGGTGGTGAGGAGACTATTCAGTCAGCGACTTCACCAAAAAGAATTGTTTCATCTGCATATTCTAGATCAACAAGTGAATCTCCTTGCAGATTGTCGACTCCAGAAGTCTCACAATAAAAGTCGTCTGTGAAAGCATGTCATTGACAAAGTTGAGTGAGAATGGAGAAAGTGGGCAGTCCTAACGGACACTACTCGAGGTAATCAATTCTGATGACAGTTTTCCATATGCTCTTACTCGACGGTTAGTGTTCGAGTAAAGAGCTTGTACAACGGTAATGTACTACTTTGGTACTTTTTTTCAATGATATTGTCACATGGTCTAGAGTCCGACCCTGCCCTAAGGTCCAGGAATACAGCTATTGCTAGACGCAAAATGTGTCTGTGTTCTAGTACCTGACAAAGTGAATATTGGATCTATGCATGCACGTCCAGGTCCGAAGTCACCCTGGTTTTTTTGAGTCTGCTCTTCACAAGTTCTAATTAGGTACTGAAGGATTATCGAAACTAATATTTGGGACGCCCTGTTAGTTAAATCGATTCCTCTGTGATTGCCACAAGAGTTTTCACTCTTATAGACTGGATCAGTCGGATGAGAATACGTCCAGTTACTAGATTCTACCTAAGGTCTCAGTCAATCTCACTGCCAATACTAGACTACCATCCTTAAATATCTCAGGGATTAGCCTGTCAGATCCGGCTGCTCTCCCTAGCCTTAGATTGTCTATAGCCTTTTCAACCTCATTCAGTGGCGGAGGAATTGCATCAACTTGCCATTCAGGTTCACTGCATGTGGTGGGTAACCGAAGTGTGGCTGAAGACAAGTTGAGCTGGTCCCTAAAGTGTTCTGCCCATCGAACAATCTCTTAAATAGCTATCCCATCTATTTCCGGGATACCCTCATTAACAGATTTCTAATACTGGTTTCCATAATAAGTGTAAACAAGTGTAAGTGCTTTCGCTCACCACCACCAGAATATACATACAGTTTCCAGTTTAGGACTACAGACTTAAAGCTTAAATCAGAAAGAACACTTGTATTAGGATCAAAGTACATTGTTTATTCTCAATATGAGGCAGAAGTCATTTATTTCCAAATTTTTCTCAAGAGCTTTTTTTTTTCTCTATTCCTATCGGTTCCTCTCTATATTGTACTTCTACACCATATTCTCACTAATTTGAACGGAAAAATATATACAAGCAGTTAATGACCTGATTATAAACTTATGATTAATGAACATGAAAAATGCCTTGAAGCAATTAATAAATACACTGAAAATGCTGATGCTAAAGCCTTAGATTACAGCCTACAAAGTTTATTGATTTCACTTATTTGTTCTGTCCCTACAGATCCGTTTGTCCACAGAGCTGGGTAGTAGAAAACGTTTCTAAGCATAAGTGTGCATCGAGATTTGTTTCTGGTTAATCGAAAGTGTTAACTGAGCAAACTATGTTATATCTACTGTTACTTGATGATACCTGGTCATTTGTTTGATAATACCTATCTATGCGAATTATCAAGGCTGCGGTCATTACTTTTCTTGTCTTCAACACAGAATGGTTATTTTCACGAATCAAAGGGGATAGTGTTTGTCTTCACTGTGTAAAGATGCAACTTTAATTATATACTGATGTGTTCATTCGAAATCATTGTAACCCTTCCAATAAGCACCATACAAGCTAAATTTATCATGTTAGGCAAATCATGACAGTCTACTTTAATTAAATAGTAATAACAGTTTTTAAATGATTGAGAAAGTTATTTGTAAGTTGGTCAACTTATGTAGTGGAACGATGTTCTCCCGATGGCGTTGGTTTCCTTTCATTTACGGTGTTATTGAAACTGGATAGTAGATTAAGATCACATTTTGATTATCTATGTATAAAAATGATTACGGCATACTGAATAACCTTTTATCCCTAATCAGTATGGAATTCTTTTGTACAGATTTAGTCTAGTTAATTCAAATAAACTAAGTTTAATCAGTTGATTTAAATGCAAACGCTCCAAATATTCACATGTGAATGACAAAACAATGTCGTATATTTGTGAGAAACGTTTTATAGCTTTTACTTTCATCCAATTAGTTCCTTATAGAAAAACGTTGGATTTCAATTCATAGAAAGTCCTTTCCATGCATGTAACAAGTGATCTCAACCTTGATAGCGATGCTAAAGCTATTCCTGTTGTGGATCATTATAATAAATGCGTTGCCTTGCTTCTGTACTCATGAGCAGAGTCCACCTACTGGACTGTGTTATTGGTAACCTCACCTTATCATTGTAATCTCATTCACAGTACTATATAATCACTAATACTATGGCTCATTTCCCTAGTACATGTTTATTCATTTAGCTTTGCACAACACACTTTCTTTGTTTGTGAGCTAGTGTCAGAAATCAAACCTGTTATCAAATAGTTGATAGTTAAGTGTTTTAACTGCTAAACCAGTAAACTGTAAGGTCATTGATTTTTACTTAGCATAATCTCTTTCATTCTAACCAATCAAATAGTATAACTTGCGCCACGTTAAAAGTCTATATGCTGAAAGCGGAATAAAGGGACTTGAGAGCGTTTTATTCTTATATGGAATTTATGATGTAACGATATAATGTATAAGGACACAACTAATTAACATCTGAAATTACTATCATTGTAGACTACTTGTGTATATTTATAAAAATCTTGTTTTTACTTTAATCATAACTTATAGGCTGCTAAATTACGTCAACATTACGCCCGTCAGTTTTCGTGTAATTTAAAGAAACCTATCTCTAATATATATTCAAAATATCTATATCAGTTCAAGTATAAAAAACTAAGTAAATTCTTAGCAGCTGCAGCTGTTGATGCATGTAATCTAAAGTAAGTCCGTCTATTTATCAAATTCAATTGTTTTTAATTCTTGTAACTTCTTGTTCTGCTTCTGTGGTCATCCAAATCTACCACTAATATGTGCCCAATGAGCTAACTGAATGAGAAAACCAAGAATCAATAGAAAATATTTATTGACTAACCTAAAGAAAAGATAGTGCATGCACAACTTATTCGTAAATATATTATTGATTCCAGGAAATTCACACATCTGCATCTTTAATGTATCATTTGGCCTTGTATGATTATGTCTAATTTATCCTTACGTATCCTAGTTGATTTAGGGATTCTCATGTGCTAAGCTCTAAGTCTGGTGGTAATATGAACTGTGAAAACCTATGTTAGTAGAATCAGTTCTTCATCTTTAATCCAGTGTATAAAGCTTGACCTGTACCGTGGGACAACCGAGTAAGCAATGCTATCGTTAGGAAACGAGTACTAGGTAAGGATGACAGATCAATCGATGAAGTGGTGAAACTTCATCAGTTGAGGTGGTTGGGACATGTCTTGCGTATGCCGAACCACCGACTGCCTCGACAAACTTTGTTTTGTAGTGTAGGAATAGGTTGGAAGAAAGCTAGGGGCGGCCAGACCAAAACGTGGCAGAAATCCATGAAGTCATTGACTAGTGGACTGAGCCATGTCGGTAATTGTCGTCTACCTGGTTGGGGTCCGCGAGATGATAATAATCGATGGTTAGAGACCTTGAATGACATGGCTCAAAATCGTTCGCAATGGCGCCGGTGCATTTATTCTTTGTGTTCTCTCAAATCCTAATCTTCTGGATTCTTCAACACCTCTAGTTTCGACTCTCTTAACTTTTCTCACTGAATCATACTTCTTGAATAGTATCTTCTAATCCTAACCTCTCCGATTACTTCTAATTCCCTTACTACCTCTACTACTATTGGATTTGAATTGACAATTATATCTCTGTGCTGATGTGGTATGGCAACATGAACTGATGTACTTACGTACTAAGTTCTACGTTGCATCTGACTGACTATACCGCAAGCATTAAGCTATACTGGAAAATATTTTCAGTTTCATATGTTAGGTAATAAATGAGAGATTTTTATCAATCGGTCATATAAAAACATAGAACTTGACACTTCTGTACATAGATTCAAACTGCCATATCCTACCAGCACAGCGAAATAAAATTGTTAAGTTTAATCCAACTTTAGTCGGAACAGTAACACTGATTGTAGAAATGATTCTGTATAAATGATTGATTAGAGATAAAAATGAATTTGTGGGATAAAAAGTATGAGATAATTTCAAAACCCATGATATAATGGAAGATTAATAACAAGTGTGTGCACATCATTGCAACTGATTCGTAGTTATGCTAACCAACGTACCCAACAACATGTATGAAATACATGTTCCGATCTTAGTTTGCTCTCATCGGCGAGGCGTATCTGAAATCATAGAGGTATTGGTGTGCCCCGTATATTATACAAATTAATGTCACCTGGTGTTTTTAAGGATTTTATGATCCCTCAGTGTAATTTGGCAGTTAACACTCATTTAAATCAAAAACTAGGAATAGTGTTACTTTATGCCGTTAATCTTATAGTTGCTAGTTGATTCTTCATCAACATAGGTCTGATTTGCTTGTTACACAGCTGTCGGGTCTTGAATTTCAAAGTCGTGTTATCCTTCGAACGTGAGATGATCGAATTATTCAAACAGAGAAATAACTTCTGCATTGTGTCAATTTTTTTATTTTATCATGAGAAGAGATTTCAGTGATAGATAAAAAGTGATTTCATTTATCTATATATATTAACAGCTAACCATATAATTAGTGGCTAAACATTATAACAATTATGTAATCGTAGTTGTAACCAATGATTAGTCATATTCTTTTTTATATGACGATTGACAATGATATATTTTATTCTTGCGTCTGTTTAGTTATTTCTACTGTGTAATGAATGACAGTAGATGTTAGTAGTCATCCTTTTACATATAATTAAAAAGCAGTCTAATTTTCCCCTAACGTATTTTTTTTAATAATTAAAATGGAGCAAGAACAACTGACGTAACAAAATAACCTAAATTTGTTTTTATGGTTTATCATCAACTGCAATACTACCTAACCATAATCGTACTAGTCACTAACAATTAGTAGACAACAACAACAACATCACATAAAATGATTTGAAATCTAGCCGATCAAGGTCACATTTCTATTGACTACCCAGAATACATAAACCTGATATTGCTGATTAGACCATTATTGTATTCAGAGTTCAGTTCTCCATTGCATAAACTTGATTGTTGCTTGGAAAAACACTTAGCACCGATTTGCTCAAAATTAAGCTGTCCATAATTTGGAAAGTTCTTTTCAATTTGCTAGAAATAGAAAATGTTAATATTGCTGATAAATTTTAGGTCTCGTATGACTCGTCATCATTATGCACTGCTGTGTTCCAGGCTAGAAGAAAATAAAGAAATCATATATGGATACACTAACTTTCTTCCTGCATCAAACAATGATTTCAACCAGCTCTTACTAATGTGTGATTCTAATTTAACAATATCTTATATCGACAAGTTAATGGATTATTATCTGTGGAGAGTCATTTAGGCCCAATATCGGCAGATATATTTATGGTCCACTTGGAACAGAAAACTAAAGACTATAATTAGTGAAACAGCTTTGTATGTTAGGTATGTTAATGACGAATATGTTGCTTACAATAATCACTAACATGCTTTTAATATGTTGAATTTTCTTAATCATCGACATCCAAATGTACAATTTACAATGGAGCATGATCAGAATAGTAAGTTCTATTTTCTAGACCTTATTATCCAATATTATAAAAATGGTCATACTCAAAAAGACTTATCCATCAAAAAGACATTTAAAAAATAGACTTCATATGAATTTTGATAGCTTCTGTTCGAAAAGTTGTACAAGACGAACATCTCTGAACTTAATAGGTTTTTACTGGGCCCAATAGGTATCACATGACGTAAGGACACGGTTATCACTGTTGCTTTGCCCTATTGACCTTGTTATTACCTTCTTGAATTTTTTCCTGAACTTTGCTCATTTTTATCTTATAATCAATCTGCTTTTTGTTTATTATTATTATTATTATTATTATCATTATTATTATTATTATTATTGCTGAGTACTAGTTTTTTCTTCTAAAATCCTCATATTTTTTACCGTTTTGTCAATCCTTATCGAGGAGAACATTTCTAATATTATGATATATAGTATATACACTGGTTTTTAATGAATAATACTATTATGTTTAGGTTGTATGCAGTTGATGCGAGACCATGAAATAAAACAAATTCAGGTTATTCTGCTATGTTTGTTGTTCTTGCTATATTTAAGTTTATCGATGCCATCGCGCATCATTTATTCCAATTCCTTTTGATCTACTGTAAACAAGTGAATACTGTTTTGTTGAGCGGTCTTCTGAGTCTGATACTGATTTAGGCGCTTTCTATACGTAATCTCAAACAACTACTTGAGTGATAAAACCGAGAGTAAGTAAGAAGAAACCATCAAGACATAGCAGTGTGGTGCACGCTACTTATAAGTAGTATATGACGCGAGTAAAAACGTAATGTCTGACAGCAGAAGATGGGGGAAGAGCGGGTACACAATCGGATTTGTATGAAACTCATGGCCAGTGAAATATCAGACAATGGATTACTGATGGATTGGTGTTTTGCAAATTAACGGTTTACGATATGGTTTTCCTATTTTATCAATTAACTCTGTAATTTTCGATAAATACAATTCGGTTGCCCTCACCTGTGTTCTCCTTCACTACAGCGGTAGTGAACGAAGACACTGTCCCTTTAATTGTGGCATGTGGCTAGCACAGACTATGTGACTGGTGTATGTGTGATTATCAAAACCAATGGTTAGAGTCCGTGAATGAAATAAATCAGAATCGTTTGATATTGCCCAGCTGTATTGACTCTTTATCTTTCCTTAGATTTTAAGTTTTTAAATTCCTTAGGTTTTTTTCTTTGTTTCACTAATCTGTGTTTTCTCAAATCTTATCTTAGATACTTAACCATTTCTATTACCATCAATACTATTACCTACCTTTACTATCCTGTTACTTGGTCTTACAATTTTATCTCTCTGTACTAATAAAGCATGGCAATTCGAATCGATCTACACATTTGTCAGGTTTAACATTGTGTCTGATTGATTAACCTGACTCTAATCGAAATATGTACACTGACTCATTCATAAATACATATTTGTTTCCCTTAGACAATCAGTTCAGATCTTGACTACTAGTATTTATTTGTCAACAGCATTTCTCACTTACCATATGGCTTTAAATCGATTTATCCTACTGACCCAGAGTTTGTTTTAACTCAAGCTTAAAATTCAATAGCTAAAACAATTAACAAGCCAAAGCAATCAGCTAACTGTAAGAAGAATTTAATCTTTAAGCCTCAAATGTATCTTTAAAAATTTAATGATGTAAAAACACCGAGTCATTTGAAATCGAATTAATCTTGTTACAATTTTAAGATTTGATCTCATAAAAAAATAACCACATAGGCATTATCTATTACTCTTACTACAAAGTTATATTTGCTGAATATTACCTTATAAATATAAATTGCATGATTTTATTTCTGATTAGATAGACTTATCAAATTTACTAGTTTACGGTCAAATGAATGGTAAGTGAGAAGAGATGTTGACGTAAACCGCCTGTTGGTCGAGATTTGGATCTATTATCCCTAGAGAGATGGATAAGCTATTAGTTTAAAATCCTCGTTAATTGTTCTAGAGACAGGTGCCTCTGTTAATTAGTCAGTTTATGCGTATATCTTATTAATGGGCCACCCAATAAATGCTTCCTATACACTCTTGGTTTTCTCAGTCAAGTAACCAGTCGCGTTTGCCTACAACCGTCCAACACATTTAGGAATGTGATAGTACATCGGTAAAAAAAGTAGTTTAATTTTTTGGTAAAATTTGATTCTTACACATTTGAAATCATCAATCAATCATTGTTAGACCACCATTAGAAACCTGGAAACACTGGACGGCCGTTTCGTCCTGGTATGGGACTACTCATCAGCAGTGCACATCCACGACTCCTGCTCCTCGCATACCAGGACGAAACGGCCGTCCAGTGCTTCCAGATTTCCAAATGGTGGTCTAACAATGATTGATTGATGATGTCAAATGTGTAAAAACGCAAACCTCCGAAAACTGTGCCCCGAAACATCGTAACAGTGCTCACTAGTGACTAGCTTCGTCAGGAAATTCTCCGAGTTCTAGTTGAGAAGACGTGACTAATGGAGTTCAACCCTGTCGGGTTTAGGCAGTAACTACCAAAGACAAATGGGTGAGGTCGCGCAAAATCCCTAGGTAAATCAGAGTTAGATATTAACAGCGTTGGATGCCGGCCCAGTGGTCCGATGGTAAGGCGTTCGCCTACAATGCCAAAGGTCCCGGGTTCGAGTCCTGCGAGGTGCAGGAGTCGTGGATGCGCACTGCTGATGAGTCCCATATCAGGACGAAACGGCCGTCCAGTGCTTCCAGGTTTCTAATAGTGGTGGTCTAACAATGATTGATTGATGATTTCAAATGTGTAAAAACGCAAACCTCCAAAAACTGCCCCAAAATTTGATTCCTCGGAAAAATTTCTCAGCATTACTGTACTTAAGTAGTTATACTTGGTGAATATATATATATATATATATATATATATATATATATATATATATTACACTTTATCGATCATTGTTTAACCATGGAAGAGAGATAGTGGTTCATCTGATCTTTATTAATCCTTAGATTTATGTTATTTCATGTTTAGAACTAGCTTTTAATTATATACATTATTATAGGTAATTAAAGTGAGATGTTTTACATTTTTTTTGAAATATGAGCTAACAAAAAAAATGATTTATTTATTAGAATATTACATTAAAATCTTTCAACTCTTTTAGTAGGTTTACGTAAAAGATGTGTAAACGTGTTAGAACTTAAAATGACAGGATGTTTAAAAGTACATCATTATTTTGTTAGCTGATATATATGGCATTAATGATCATGATTAATTATCCCTTTAAAACAATGAGTATTCTGTGTCATCAACTAACAAATGGTTTGTCTTTCTGCTCTAACCGTTATCATACAAAATGGATGTGATTTTTTTTTTTATGATCATACTAACTGTTGTTGGTTATAAACAAACTCTGAAGCCATTCTTCGATTGGAATGTCAGTGTTCTCAAAGTGTCTCGAACTTGTTGCTATTTTTTTTCAAACAACGGAATGAGATATCGAGATTGTATCGAATTTTCGGTTACTGATTAATTTAGCCACGTATTTAATGTAGTTCCTTGAAACTCTGTCGGGAGCACTTTCAAGGTTGCTGCCGATCCCGAATCCGGATAAAGAACAAGGGCTGGTAATGTGGTTTAAAACGTCATTCTGTAGAAAAGAAGTAGGGGACTACAGTGGACACCACTCAGTGCTGTGTGCCCACCAGTATAACAACAAAGAAGATGAGAGGCTGCAGTGAATCATAAAGAAGTGTCCAGCAAAGGGATTGACCATTCTGATAGGAGACCTAAACACCAAGGTTGGGATAAACAACACTGGATACGAAGATATAATGGGATGACATGGACCCAAAGTGATGAGGGATTCGTTTATCTGCGTGCCTTTAAAAGTGTTTACAGGCGGCACCATATTCCTTACAAATGCGTGCATAATGCTACATGGATTTCACGTAGTAGTCTTACTACGGAGAACCAGATCGATCACATCTGAATCAACAAAAAGTTCGGAAGGAACTTGAAAGACGTGAGAACATAGAGAGGTCATCACTTGGTAGTGACCAAGACGAAACTGAAACTCAAGAAGCAGTGAACAACTGTGTGAACAGCCTCACCTCTTCGGGCTATTGTCAAATTCAGCGAATACAAGATAGATCGCAGCAATAGATTCGAGCCCTAGCACGATCTACTAAAAGAAGATGGAAAACAACTGGAAAGGGACTAGAGAATCAATAATTTTGGTATGTCATGAGGTTTATGGCCACAAGAACCACCATTATGAGGAATTTGTCTCTGTCGACACTCTGGATAAGATTCAAATTAGGAAGATAGCATTTAACACTAGCTGAATAAGAGCAGAGAAAAGTAAGGTTCAGACTAAATGAGCAGAAGCATAAGTACAAGTGAAGAGGCACATTAGATCTCATAAGTGGCAATATCTCAAAGAAAGATTTAGCTATTTCACTGGTAGGGAGTGAAGTAGTTGAGCGTGTTAACCGCTTCACTTATCTTGGAAGTCCAATCAGCGCTGATGAGACTAGCATGTTAATTTCCATAATATTGAGTTTATATCTTCCCATTGTTATTATTCTAAACTACAGTTGATTTGCCTTTGTTGGTATTTGTAGATCTTAAACAAATTGCCTCGATAGAACCACTTAACCACAGACTCTAATAAAGTGAAATCAAAAATGTACTTTTTTCTCTACTTACGAATTGTCAGCCTTGTGTTCATATATCATGTTATAATTCGAACCCTATATCTTTCTCATCAAATGGTTACGTATTATCTACTGAGTTACAAAGGCCTGATAACTACAAACTTGTTTAGCAGATATAATACTTATATGATTACTAGTAAGGGTTCGAGCTCAGTAGTTGACAAATTCTGAACTATTGAAGTGAAAGTGTGGTGTGAGCTACTTATAAGTAGTATATGACGTGAGTGTCAACGTAATGTCTGGCAGCAGAAGATGAGGGAAGATCAAGAAAGCTGGGGGAGTGGGAACACAATGAAATTTGTATGAAATGCATGAATAGTGACAATGGATTGATGTTTTGCAACAGGAACAGTCCAGTTCGATATGATGAACTGATATTTTGCAAATTAACCGGTTACGATATGGTTTTCCAATTTTACTGAGTAATTCTCTAATTTTCGTTAAATACAATCCGGTTGCCCCACCTGTGTTGTTCTCCTTCACTACAAAATCTACTGAGTTCAAGTTCAATTGTAAATATCAACATTTTAATACAGATATATTTTATTTCATTGTTAGACTCATTTCAACTTTTCTATTCTCCAATTTGTTTTTGTGTCTGTTTTAATTTTCAAATGTCATCACAAAAATAATAAATAATCCAACTTTTTTTTTTTTTAAAGACAAGGTGATAATGTATTAGAAATTGGATTTGGACAAGGTTATGGTATTCAATTAGCTGTTGAACATGTTGCTCCTGTCACGGTTAATCATTGGAAATCTTCACGTACTACATTTATCTTACAAAATATTTTATTAAAATCAAATATTGAATCAGGTATATATAAAAATGATGGTCATGTTTATGGTGTTGAAATTTCTGATTACATGCTAAAAATAGCTAAAAGGTATATTTCATATGTTAATTTTTTTTTTATGTATATATTATCATTGAAATATTATACAATCAATTAAAGTGAACTGATATTTCACATTTATCTATTCTATTTTTTTACACATTTGAAATCATCAACCAATCATTGTTAGAACACCATTAGTAATCTGGAAGCACTGAACGGCCGTTTCGTCCTGGTATGAGACTCATCAGCATAACGTACCCACAACTCCTGCACCTCGCAGGGTTCGAACACGGTATTGTGCGCGAACCACTGGGCCGGCATGGTTAGGCGCAGGAGTCGTGGATGCGCACTACTGATGAGTCCCATACCAGAACGAAATGGCCGTCCAGTGCTTCCAGGTTTCTAATGGTGATCTAACCAAGATTGATTGATGATTTCAAGTGTATAAAAAAAACACTTACCTCCATAACTCTAATTGAAAATTTATCTATTTACTAGGTTATGTAATTTATTCTTACTGTACGAATGTTATTGGTATTATAATTTATCATCAGAAATTGTTCTTATACTTAGAGATTTGTTAAATATTTGAGTACATTGTTTGTTTTATTCATTGTGTGGGAAGACAAGATGATCATTATTTTATGATCTTTCTACTAGATTACTCAGAAATGTCAACCATTATTTAATCATTGCAAAACTTGAGGATCCTGGCTTCGATTACTGCTATTCTTTAATGCTTGCAGCTCAGTAGTAGCCTCATATTAGACCGAATAATCTATTCACTGTTTTATGGTTTTCACTGATTATGTGACTAAGGTTAATTTGTGATGAAAACTATAGCATCCAGGTAGACATTATTGAAACATTGAAGATCATGAATATTATCTTGACAATTGCATCACTGTATTTGAAACACATGTTTGTTTCTTTAAGTTTCATCCTTCGTCAGGTCTTAGGACATGGAACACACGTGGACGTCCGACAATATTTGTAATCCTCGATCTTAGGGCGGCGTCCGACTCTAGAGCACGTGGTTCTGTGACAATGTCATTGAAAGGAGTACCATAGTAGTACCGTTGCACAAGCTCTTTACTCGAACACTACTGGTCGAGTAAGAGGTTATGGAAAACTGTCATCAGAATTGATTACCTTGAGTGGTATCCATTAGGACTGTCCACTTTCTACAGTCTCGTTCAACTTTGTCATTGACATGCTTTTAGAGACAGCACTTTCATCGTGAGACTTTTCTGGAGTTGAACTTCTACTAGGAGATTCACTTGTTGACCTAGAACATGCAGATGAGACAATTCTGTTTGGTGAAGTAGCTGACATAATGTAGTCTTCTGAACACCTTAAGCAACAATGCGAGCATGTTTGGGATGTGATTCTCCTCATCGAAATGCGAAATGTTGCTTCAGGATTGGGTTACATCGGCACCTGTACTAGTGATAAGGAGTGAAGCAGTTGAGAGTGTTGACTGTTTTGCTCATCGTAGAAATCTCATCAGTGCTGATGGTCTGGTGTCTGACGAAATCTCGGCATGGATATTAAGGTTCGACAGGCTTTTGCCAACTTCCATCGTTTATGGCGTAGTCGAGATATACACGTCTACCAACCAGCGGACGGGTTAACTGTGCAGCAGTTCGCTCCGTTCTTATTTACGGCTGTAAAACATGACCAGTAAGAGTAGAAAATATTCGTAGGTTACTAGTGGTCGATCATCAGCGTTTTTGAAGCATTGCTCTTTTATTCTGGGACAAACGAGTAAGCAATGCTGTTGTTAGGAAACGGGTCCTAGGTAAGGACGGTGAATCAATAAATGAAGTATTGAAATTCTATCAGTTGAGGTGCTTGGGACATGTGTTACGAATGCCCAACCACCGGCTGCCTCGTCGATCTATGTTTCGCTGTGTAGGAGTAGGTTGGAAGAAACCTAGGGGCGGCCAAAGTAAACTATGGCACAAATCCATGAAGTCACTATGTTATAATGCTGCTACGTATGGCTATTCAGTCCTAGCGGCGTCCAAATTCAATATCCCAATACGACCCAAAATACTATTTCCAAATCTCTTATATATCAGAACGCAACACCGTGAGATGTAGTTGTTTATTTGGTCGAATACAGAAGAGAGATAGGCAGGAAGAAACGGAATCATGGAATCTTACAGATAGTGCGTATTTATACATTAAGGTCGAATAGGAAAGAGCATCAAAGTCTGTGACATTGACAGTTTAAGACGACCAATAGGAAAGAACATTTGAAATGACATTGACAGTCCGGATGACCAATAAGAGACAACATTGAAGTATTTGACTTTGACAGTTAAAACGATCATAATTTTGACCAGTAGAAATCGACCAATAGGATTATACTTCTAAAAATAGTACTCTTAAGATATTTGGTGAATATCCTAACACACTAACAAGTGCACTAAGTCATGTTGGTAGATGCAGACTACCTGGTTGTGCTCCGTGAAATCAGTAACTGATAGTTAGAGACCCTGAATAACCTGGCTCAAAACCGTTTGCAACGGTGCAGGTGCATCCATTCTATGGCCTCTGTCAAATTTCTTATCACCTCTTCTGAGATTTATTTCATTTATCAGATTATATCTTCGATTCTAAAAGTGTTTTATTACAGCTAATACTGCTACAGCTTCTACTACTATTGGACAATTCGATCTCTCTGTGTTTATGTAGTATGGCAACTTGTACTTATGTGCGTACGTATGAAGTTCTACGTTGTTGCTGACTGGCTAACTTGTGTTGGATCCAAACTGTTGTGTAGGTTTGTAAGGTTTCGTTCTGGGATTCGATAAATTTCTAATTCGATAACATTATTTTTTTGTATTACAGTTCACACTTGATGGAGTTAATATTTATGAGAGTACAAACCTCAACTTTACTTGACAAAACATAATACTGGGAATAAAATTTTTTAAATCATAAAACTTCTCACTTTTATATGTTATACATGCTTCCATGTGTATGTAATACTTAGTTCTATGTAATCGAAAATACTGTTAACGCAACCAATAATTATTGATCCATAAGTTACATAGCAGATGGATACTTTTTGAAATGATCATTTCAATGCGGACACCCTATATTCAACTTTCCCGACCGTAGCTGCTACCTTAACGTGGTGGTCGGGCTTGCCTATCTTGATGACCCAACCGAGCTTTACTGGCTGGAACACATGTTCCTGAAAGTTCTACCATGCCAGGCAGGTCGATTGCAGAACGATGAGACTAAAAGCAGCTACCCAAGGTCTGAGGGCGAAGTCGTACTGCTGACTGCAGAGGGGTGTGACAGCAGTAAGTTGTTTCCCTCGGACAACCAGCATCTACAGCGATGCTGCCTTCTGACAAGGAAGGAAGGGTTAGAAAAGGTCGACCCTAAAAATGTTACACCTCACGGATTTCCGTCTCCTTGGGTAAGGGTGCCCACTAACGGCTTTCAAGAGCAGAGCTTATACTATAAAAACCTTTCATCAAAGGTCGTGCGTGACCGGCCTCAAGCAGTTGTCCCTTGGGCTTTGCGGTCACGCTCCCAGGTCTCTAAGACCAACACTAATCTACCTTCCTTTTCAGGTCCCTCAAGAAACAACCTTCCACGGTGTGGGCAGCCGGGAAGTGATAACCGCCCTCATACCCGTAATAGCACACGAGACCGATTTGGTCGAAATCAAATCCTTCCTAATATTCAACTTTATGTGTGTTGTGCATTGTCAACTATTCAGTATTATTTATAAGATATAACTTCTTACCACATCACAGTGTTTAAATATTGATAATAAATAAGTTAATGCAACGCGTTCACTAAGTATATGTTTATATAATGAATGGCCTTTGAACCACATATTCATAAAGCAGTGATTGACATTGCTTGGTTGCTTGAATTAATCTACATTGAGTAGTATTGTGGTGCGCGCTACTTATAAGTAGTATATGACGTAAGTGTCAACGTGATGTCTGGCAGCAGAATATGGGGGAAGATCAAGAAAGGACGAGTGCGAACACAATGGAATTTGTATGAAACGCACGAATAAGTGAAATGTAAGACAATGGATTGATGATTTACAAATTAACGGTTACGATATGGTTTTCTGATTTAACTGAGTAACTCTGTAATTTTCGTTAAATACAATTCGGTTGCCCCACCTGTGTTCTCCTTCACTACATACGTTTAGAATCTGATATTCAATGGTTGAAGGTCAACTGCTCTGAACAGTATACCACAATTTTGAAGGTTGATCAATATCAGTAATGTGTAGTTATAGGTAATTATTGATCAATCAATCTAGGGTGAGTTGAATATCAATACCAGACATACAGATCACCTCGATGTATTTAACTTCAATAAAATAATTATATTCAACTTTCACTCGTAAATAAAATTCTACCACTATTGAGGCATGTTTTTATAGTTTGATGAAGGAAAATCATTGATAACAACCAGGAAACAGTGGAGAGCTGTTTGTGATATTGTATGATCGTCATTCATTGCTATTGCTGATATTTATCTTGTATGTCTAATGCATAGTGGGAGGAGTCATAGATCCGCATTTCTGACGAGTTCCATATTAGAACGAAACGATTGTTCAATATCTCCTAGTTTGCAATGCTTGTCTACTAACTGTGACTAGTTCACATTTTAAATTGTGTCCATCCGTATTTGACTGAAGAAAAAATGTATCAATAGATTTTATAAGATTTATAAACTTCTAAATACAATAAATAGTTTTCTTTACATCATCATATCATGTACACTTTAATTCGTTATTATTATTATTTCAGGAAATTATGGCCACTCACATATACAGATTGTGTTGATTTACAATTAAGAAGTATACATCATCTTCCTTATGCTGCTTCATCAATGAATGCATGTTTTCATGTAGATTGTTTTTATTTTTGGCCTTCTTTAACGTATTGTTTACAAAAAATTTGGAGAGTTCTACGCCCAAATGGACGTCTTATAACTACATTTCAAACTAATCATTTAACTGATTTATTCGAACGTGGATGGTTACAATATGGTAATCCTGATCCTTTAACTTATGTAATGGCATTAGAAACATGTGGATTTAATAAAATTGAATGGTTAAAGAATCAATCACAATGCAATTTATATGAATCATATGATTGTATTATTGCTTATAAACCACCTACAATATTATTAAGTGATTCGACATTGTAATATGTATATTTATTTACATTTCTTACTTTTCAAAAATATCATACTGTATATATACATTTATATATTTATATAAACTCGAATTTTTTGTAACTAAGGACTTCATTTCATTATTCTGAGCAGATTGTTTCAATATTTCCATACAGACTACAGTTTACTATTAAAGTCGAATAGTGACTGATAGTGGAACTCAGGATGTCCATTTCGTTTTCTTAGAGAGTCAGTCATAAGATGAGTGTTATTTTCATCGCAAAGTTCATGTCCATACTGTGACTTAGATTCAATATCTTTCGATTCAAACAGCAACGCGTTGTTTGTTTATTAGGCTTACTGAATCCAACCATTTACTGGTTTTTACATTGAATGAATATAAACGTTGTTCGTAAATGGTTACATTTCTCTGTGTTTGGTGTTAGTAGCTAGGTTTGAGCCCCAGTATGAACATCAACATTAGGATCTAGGTGAATCTCAGTGACGAATTGACGTGCATCTTAGATTCCACTGCTAGTTCCAATCCAATACATATTTTATTTATAGTTGAACTTAAACCTACCTCATTTATTAATTGATTTGTGTATAGAGATAGGTTTGAATTTTACAAGAATGATCAGTTTCTATAAGGTTTCAGATGTATCTTGCTGATGAGTGTCTGCTAGTACCAAACGAAGACCACCCCTCCATTCGTTGAACAGATTACGCAGGGTTCGAAGACAGTTCAACTAATTTATGGAAATGATATCCAGAACAATTTTTAAACTTAGTTTTTAATTTATCTGTCTAGGGTATGCATTCACAATTAAGTTGTTTTTAAATCATTTATATATGATACAATGAATTAACCGGAATAATCTTCACTTAATGAGAGGTCAAATTTAGTTATATAAATGTAATATTAATGCACTGATCATTCCTTCATAAACTAAAAATCGATCTTAAAATCGTTATTAATCAAATAGTCACTAGCAAAATATACTATGTATCACTACATGACCTACTATGAACGAGTAGAGTTGCAGGTGATTTCAGGTCGAATAAGAGTGAGCGGGAGAGAAATAATTGACGGAAAATATTTCGAATTATCATTTTTCAATCCAATTCAGCTTAATCCGACTACACATATTGATCATTGGACGCGTAAAAAAGTGAATTCAAATAATTTGGGCCCCATCTAAAACAACCTTATTGAGATATTAAGTCATGTTTTATTGGTACAAATTTCCTGTAAATCTGTCAAATGAAGCAATCGTCAATTTATTATTGTTCTTCAGCAATCATATATCAATAGGTACATGGTCTTTCCTGAAGATAAACTCCAAACTTTTAACAACAAAACCATGCAGATGATGACCTATCGCATAATTAAGCAACCTAATTACATGCAATTATCGAAGGTACTTCATTCTTATAATATAGATTCAAAAGTTATAGTTTCGTTATGAATTTCTTTACAGTCCAGCTACTCGAAGAATAGTAGTAGCGCTCTAGGCTGGATAAATATGTTCACTGATACGGCCACAAATCATCAATTGAGAGGAATATTGTGCGGTTCCAACTACCTCTCTTTACCGAACAGATAGACTAGTTACATTTGGAAGTCTAATGGGCTAAATTAAAATGCAACACCATCTAATGTAGTTAATTGTTTCCCTGTGCTGGTAGATGCATACTTCGTTGCTTGAAGGTGGTATATAATCTTAGTCAAAGGTAGAAAACGCTTAATGACATGATTTCAAACTTGCTGCTGTGGTGCGTTTGAAGACAGTTTCTTATGCTTCCTTAGATCATAAATATAATGCCATTACATGATTTTTATTTTCCGATCTCACTCGTTTTCTGAATCAAACCTCTTGGACTTCTTGCTGGAATCCACACTATTTCTTCCTTCACATGACTATTATTCTGTTGTGTATCGTGTGGTGACTGGTTTGTACCTGCTTTAGAGCTTAAGTTTTCTAAGTCGCTAATTCTGCTCTATTCAGAAAGCTTACAAGATTGGTGTACTTTCATGTTTGAAGTGTTACTCCAAACCTTTAAATGTTAAAGGCCGATGAAATGGAAAGGGAATATGACGATTCCATTCTCGGACGACCTGCTCCATACAGCTAAGTCAGTTATATCCAAATTACCTAGACTTTTTGATACTGTATAAATGGACAGTAAGTTCTCTCAAAAACAAATTGCTACCAGTTTCAGATGTCCTCAGCTAGCAGTAAAACTCTTAAGTCAGTATTACGATAAACATTTAGAAACAAGAACAAGGTGTCTGTGTAGACCAAAAGTATTTTAGTCATCTAATGTACAGATGAAAAAGTAGGGTCAGGGAACACTCCTGAGTTCTCAAATCGCAAGCACAAAAAAGGGCTAAGCACGTAAAACATGTATCGCGTTTACAGCAGCATAAAACAAAGCAGTGAAAACCAATAAGTCTGAGGTAAAAATTACTTGTGGTTTTTGGAGTTTCTTGGCTGTTATATTTAGAGACCCCAACGAATATTGGTATCCCGGTGAATCTAACTGAATCTAGACCTTTGTTTATATTTAACAGCTATGGAGATGGATATTAGTTATTTTTTCAAACCACCTCTGATTCTTTTGGTGTGACTAGGAAAACTGTTTTTCACAGCTACGAAATAATTTTAAGCTGACCATTCTACTAAGTATTCGTTCTTCGACAAAAGACGAATACTTTGTTGCTATCGAATGCCAAGAAAACTTCTAACCCATACTGAGAATTAGTTGATCAGCAGTCCCTCAGGTAGATTAACCAGTAATTTAGCTTGACAAATTATATATCGCCACTGAACCGGAATCCAAATAAATCTAGTCGTAATAAAAAGAACGCTCGTTTTTGGATACTTAACGAATTCTATAGACTTACATTGTCATAAGGTTTCAGAAGACTAGCCTCATCCGAGTTTATGCGAAACTGATTTATGATAATGTACTAGTGATGAGAAATATATACCACTGGTTTTATCCAATGCATACCACATGTACTAAGCACTGAATGCTGTCATAGTTCGTTAAAATCAAAAGAGTGGACCAACAACTGGAAAGACACAACTAGAATGGTTTGATAAAAGATTATCGGTCAAAATTAAAGACGAAATAATATAACTTAACATAAGGACAAGGTAAACACTTACTAATGAGATGCAGTTTTGTTGTTAGTTTAATATTACTATACCCGAACTACAAATCATCCTATGAATATTGTTTAATCATCAAGATTGAAAAAATATTCTTGCATAGATGGAATTCAAAAGTCACAAAAATTTTAACACTTCATATTATTTCTCGAAATATAAATAGTTAGAATATTTATTTACAACAGTGAGAAGAATAAATATATGTCAATGCCAATTGAATCGAAGAGACTAAGTTTCTCATAAATGGAGCACAACTTCTGGAAAATACGTTGGCGTCATAAACAAGCTACGTATTGATTATTTCTGCTGTTCACAGCACTCTAATTGGCTAAAGCAATATCAGTTAATGGGCGAAACTAACCTCCCACTCACGTTGAAGAATGCGGATAGTATCCCTCTCCAATATTGGACCAAAAAGTGGGTTAACCTGAGCCATGGATGACATCAACCAACTGGAATATATAAGGTAATGAACAAAGGAAGCAATTTACAAGAGGTAGCAAAATACAGAAGAAGTTGCAAGCATCAGCTGAATTAACCTATATGAATCTTGTTAGCGCGACACCATTAGCTTACGGTCTGTGTGGACCTTTAGGTACTATGAGAGGTCCTCCACAACCAACAAGCAACCAAAAAACCGTCATAACTGTAAGAGGGACTTCGTAACCCATTTCCGAATGATTTAAACATGCGCTTGAAAAGTCCATGGGTCCATCTTGCAACGACGTATTCAAACAATAAATTCATGAAACGGTGTACAAATTTCTTAATTCATTTTGATTGATATAAATTGGATTATTTATTAAACCTGCTCTTGATTCTCACTGAATGACCTGTTTTTGTCTGAGTAGCGTTGTAAGAAATATTTTTATTGTACAATTGAGATGAGAAGATTGCCAAACGAGTGAGATCACTCTAGACATATGAAATGCATCTGAAACTATTAGTATAACTATCTAGAGACATTCGGGGAATTCAGGTAATTCTTATTGCACAGTTATTTTATGGCCCCTAAAAATTCTTTTCATTTTGGCATGATTCTATCAAGCCAATAAAATGGTTATCTGATACCCTGTGCCTAACTTACGGCGGTTATTCAAGTAGAAATAGGCTGGATTTTTACTATTAAACTTTGTTTGTGGTCATGTTAAGCATAACTACTTGATAGACTAATTCCTAAGGTTGTGTGCAGGCGGACATACTTATCAGAAGCAATTGAAAATAGATAATCCAGTCTTGATGGTTTTCCGCTTTGAGACATTCATGATTTCTGACAATTCAACACCTTGTTCTCTTACGTTGCAACAGAGGCATCTGATGGTTTGTTTTACCACCTCACGTAACTCAATACTGACATCCGTTCTAAGATTTCTGTACAAGCCGATTAAGCCATGTTGGTTAGTTGTAACTTTTGAAGATTTTTGTGATTGTATAGTGTATTTCCTTAGTGAGACCATAGGCCTTGTATCTAGTATCGGAGTAATCGATCGATGTTATCCGTCATTAATGTGTTTTTTTGGCCTTCTTGCTGTTTACCCACTGACTTTGTCCACTGTCACAATACCTGTAGTGTCAATATAAAGTTCGTTTATTTGTACTATATCGAACGTGAAGTGCCTCAGCCGGTTTCCTTTTAATTCTGAATTCCACAGCCACCAGATATAGATAGTTAATAGCTGTGGGTATACATCGTCAGGCACCCGTTAAACTTTAGTTGAGATGGTGTTGATAGTGCCTGTGGTAGCTCAAGCCAGTGTTGTTCATCATATCTGTTAGCTTTCTCACAACTACAACCGATTGGCTGATGTATTTCCTGAGCTCCCGTACTGGTTGCTTTTCAGTGTCTATTCCTCTTCCGAAGTCATCTTTAAATTATTACAGTTTGTCGTATGTGGATCAGATTTAGGATGACTTGTGGTGACCAAATATCTGCCTGTTATAAAGCTCGGTAATTAGCTCGTCCAGACATTCGTTACAAAGTAGCGACTGACGGTTATAAATCGGAAGATGAGTTCGAAGTAATGAATACGTTTATTTTTGGACACACCACTAAGCGAAGTTGAAAAGCAGCGAACAAAGCGTACGAAACGACGTGAATTGGAGAAGGCTAATGAGCCAACTCCTTGGATTACAATGCGAACGAATGGGCGAAGGATGCGATTTGGAAAATCAGCGGATAAAACGAATGAAGCGATGTGAAGAATGGCTAATGAGCCAACTCAAAGAGATAGAGCATGACTAAG